TTTTTTTCTTTTTGTGCAAATTGTTATTCTCTCCTTATTGCTTCTCTTTTCATACCCTGAACCCATTGAAAATGGGTAAAAAGATTTCAATGTATTTGTGCAAATGTATGTAACAGGCAGAAGGAAGCATTTCCGACCCCATAAAGTATATATATTCTTGATCATCATCAACAGCCGAGTCGATCTAGCCATGTCCGTCTGTCTGTCCGCCTGTCCGTCCGTCTGAGTATATATATATCAGTATCTTTCATTTTGTACCCCTCACCACCTCCCCGCAACCTCCACTAAGCAATAAATCAAGTAAATAAACAAATTTGCATATGCTGCCCACCAATATAAGCCACAATTTAAATGCCATTGTCAAAATACACGAATATTGTAAATAACATTAAGATCTACTGATGAAAATTACATCAAGATCGTGTAAGAAACACAACTGTTGTGGCTGTTTGGTAGAGTCGCCGGTTAGTTGCGAGTCGAACCCTGCCAAGGAAACGTTGTTTTAAATTTATCTTCATTACTTAAGCAGTCAAGCGCGTAGCTGCATTTGGTGTTAGAAGAGGGGGTTCAGGGTATACTCTAGTCGACTTTTTTCTTGTTCTCATATCTTCTGGTGATACCCATACCGAATATTTTTTTTTTGGTTTCATTGCGCTCTACCATACAGATATCAGACGCTTTGACTCTCTCCCAAGCCTTATCAGCTAAATTTACATCAGCTATATGCCGTTTACCTAATTCTGTGTTTTCTGAATATGCTATATCGTGCTCCCTGCAAGCTGCGTCTAATAGGTTAATGCCTTTATCACCACGCTGTAGGCGTTAAATTTTAAAATGGGTTTAAAGAATCTAAAAAAGAATATAAAAGTGAGAAATATTTATTTTTCACCCAATAAAAATAATATTCGACACAGTGTGCTATTACCAAACTCAATTAAAGGATTAATTTTAGGTGCATATAATTGCGGAAAGGCAAATCTCATAATCAGCTTAATAGAGAGTTCAAATGGATTAACTTTTAATAATATTTACTTATACTCAAAATCATTATTTGAACCGAAATATGAACACTTAGAAAATCTCGATACCCCAAAAAAAGGAACGGGATATTTCACGTTTTCTGAGAACGAAGCTGTTATTCCACCTGAGAAAGCTAAGGATAGCTCGATAATGATATTTGATGATGTAGCATGTGAAAAACAATGTAATATACGTTCATACTCTTGTGTGGGTCGACATAAAAACTTCGACTCATTTTATTTATGTCAAACGTATACACGCATACCAAAGCATCTTGTGCGTGATAGTGCCAATTTAATAATAATGTTCAATCAAGATCAACTTAATATAAACACATTTATCAAGATCATGTGTGTTTCGATATGAATTTCGAAACATTTTTACAAATTTGTCAATTATGCTCGAAAAATAAATATGGGTTCATTTTATTAGCAAGGTTGACGCAATAGACAATGGAAGATATGGAATAGTGTTTGATATATTTATTATAATTTAAATAATTGACTATAATAAAGTTATATTATAAAACTGTAAAATTAATCAAATTTAGATTCATTTAACATTCGTTTCTCAGAGTGGTAACAACAATACCTTTAACTGGGAAAGGTTCAATTTTAACTGCAAATTTCATTCCTCCCATTAAATTGTGAACAGAATACGAATGCTGTCTAGTTGATTTTCATATGTACAATTAAATTCCAAATATTGATCGAACTAATAATCTATTTCATTTTGGGGTACATACAATGGAAATACCTGTAGGATCATACGAGCTTAAGGACATTGTTAATTTCATCATAGATAATTTGATAAAACGAAAACTTATTATTAACGGATCATAAGTAAGCAATGTCCTATCGCATACGGATATAAAATGAATGAGATCCCACATAACCTCATTTACTTGCCATTAAACACTAGAGAGATAAACACATTAACAATAATTGATCAAGACGGTGACTTGATTAGCTTGCGTGAAGAAGAAGTAACTCTTCACTTATACTTAAGACCACGAGAATGATAATTTACAATAATAAAAACGTGTGGAAGCCAGTAATACGAAACAGTCGCTCATATTCCACAGTTGGGCGAGAGCCACCTAGGAGAGCACTTACACCAGCAAATAAAATATTCTTAAAATCTCTAGGTCTTAAAGTTAGAAAACAATGGCAAACAACAGAATTTTAACTGTTCGTGAAAAATATTATTCTGAAGATAGTATAAGGAAAAAGGAATATCATACTTATACACCCTATCTTCAATAATTCAATGTTAATGATGAAGTTCGAATTACAATTCAAAACCAAGATTTGTGTGTTTCATCAGCATAGAAGGTTCGGTTACTGCGGTTACTACGGATGCTAATAGATCAGCTGCTACAGGCAAACTTTAAAATAACTGCATGGCATATTTATTTAATTAAATTCGAATGAACTAAATGGAAGTGAAATTGATCGCACTCGATTGGTTGGAGTTAATTCAACTATAAAAAAACATGTTTTTTTAAATAAATCAGAGAGTGAAATGCTTGAGAACGCTGGATGGCTTAGAGGCGAAACTCGCGAACTATCGAAAATTAGTGATAAGAAAATTTTCAATTTTAATGTACCTCTAAAATGTTTACTCGGCTTTGCTGAAGACTATAACAAAATCCTATTTAATTGTAAACATAAGCTTGTTCTGCTCATAAATAAGAATATGAGTGGCGTATTTCAAACCGTATTGGCGTATTGGCGCCGTTGAGTATAAACTCAATATTTTTAAGATAACCTGGAAGATTCCACATTTAATACTAAATGATCAAGCAAAACTGCAAATGTGTAATGTGGTTAGAAGTGAAAGTTCTCTCTCAACAGCACTCTGCAGCTGGGAATGTTTTATGAATTCATCACTCACAGATGGCGCTCAACACACTTGAAGTGTTAACCTAGCAGCTAATAGAGAACGTCCTCGATTTGCATTATTCGTATTTATTTCGGAGGGAAAATTGATTACAAACAATCTGTTAAATTTTAAAGTTCATTTGAACTCAGAAACAAACGATGATTTAAGTTTAAATTTTGAGCGCGGACGATTTGCTGTTTTGTATGATATGTACGCTAAATTTCAAGAAAGCTATTATATGAAAGAGCTTCAACCACTGCTAACACCTAAAGAATTTAAGCAAAATGCTCCCATTGCTGTTGTGCACTTATCATAACAGAATGAGGCAGCTAAAACCGTACCCATTGATGATCGAATTTCTATAGATTAAGCAACAGGAAATACTTTAACATGTGATGCTTACTGTCTACTTATCCATGATCGCTTGGTTGAGTATTCACCGTGAGATTATTGCCAATGAAAACGCAATTTTCTTTACATCAGCCACCATGCTCGATCGAATATTTCAAATAAGACCCCCATACCCCTTTAGGTACTTAAACAAGCTTTATCAAACATAAACGTACGGATGTCAGGAAAAAGACATCTTACAATATATGCTAAAAACAAGCGTCAAGGACTACAATGATTATATGAATGCTCCAGTGCTTTCGGCTGATGAAATCAGCGGGTATAAAAGTGTGGTTCCCATTCAAATCAGTATGATGTGTGCAGCTATGTAGCGGGTATATATGATATCGGAGTACTTTAAACAATTGAATAATGATGTTTACTAATATTAACCATCTCCAAAAAATAAATTTAATATGTATAATACAATATAAATAAAAAAATTGTTTTATAGATAGATTTAAAAATATTTGTGTCTAATTAAAAGATTAGTAATTCTTCTACGGCAAACTGCAATGGACGTATCAATTTCATTGTTTCACTCAATTATTAATAAAATTGAAGCGTTTACAGAAGATTTTTAGTATGGTCTCTTAAATGAAAAGCTGAATTTTCTGGATTCGTTTTGAAGCTACCTACTGCAGCGGTCATATTGTGATCTTAATAAATCTCAATTAGGGATACATTTAAAATCTTGTCCATGGCCTTTCGATGATGCAACAGAATGACGCGATACATGAAGCTGTTATAAATTTATATATCAACTACATAAGTGTCAATCTATTATGTCAAAATATGCTAAATTAGAAAAAATAATGCTTAATAAAAGAATATGAATTGTTATTTGTTTTATTTAAAAAACTCTAGCTACAGTTAGTTTCCCACACTCAAGCTATCCATATACACACACACTCACACACAAATGTCAACATAAACAAAAATATATATGATCTTGCGCATGCGTTATCAACGCACTCCCCTTCCCCTTCTCCCCTTCCCTTCCAATCACATCCAGCGTAAACATATGTGATTTTGGTCCCCACACAGAAATGGAAACATAACACCCCCGTCCCTTTCCATATGTCCAGCCAACTGCCCTTGCACCCCGCTTCCCGTCTTGCACACGTGTCACTAACGCACTTCCCCCTCCTCTATTTCTTCTTGCCTCCCACACACAATTGGAAACATGGACACCCCGCCCCCCTTTCCAATGAGCATCCATAAAACATAACACCCCAACTAACACAAACAGACTTTTTATAAGCAAGCGATCACGAATTAGTAAGTACCAGTTGCAGAAAAAGCTACAATAAACTTATTAAAATGTTAGAACAATGCAAGTTGCCGATATATACCAAACTCACGAAGCGAACGAGCTGTAAAAACTCGCATCGAGGCCTAAGCATAAGTTATTGTCAGACCAGTAAATAATCGTAATAGCCAAGAGCACCAGATCAATGTAAGCATTGAATAGAGATATTTTAAGAATAGCAGTTGCTTCACTGAGTAACGTCAGAGTAAGATGCCCTGCTCTTAACAGTCGCGTGGTCGCTCCATTTGTTTTGGCCTCGCTACCAATGTTTTTTTTTATCAAGATAAAATAAAATAAAAAATTTAATCCAAAAATATGAATTTAAATCTTCGTACCAGTTAGACTTTAGTCAGAATTTTGAAATTAATTTGACACATCACTATAGCACTGACTTTAGTTAGTGTAAAAATATTACCCGCTTTATTATATTCGATTGTTTTGAGATAAAATTATTTATAAGTTCAACCTTTAGCGAAATGTCTAAGAAAGTTAAGGCTAGAGATGAGCAAAAAAAGCAAAAGAGTCGTAAAAAAACCAAAAAGGACATACAGTCTTTTAAAAAGGAAGTAGAAACAGATAACCACAAGATATCAGTGGAAGAGCTTTTAGCACGCCTGGGTACCGACCAGCATTTGGTAAGTTTAACTGAATTCAGTTAGGGTTGAGCTCATTATAGTTGGTGATGTTTTGACTTAGGGACTGTCGCATTCGGCAGCAATGTTAAGGCTTGAGATGGATGGACCTAATATGTTAACGCCACCACCAAGAACGCCAGAGTGGATTAATTTTATAAAGCACATGTTTGGCGGCTTTGCAATATTGCTTTGGTCGGGCTCTATTCTTTGCTTTATCGCTTATATTATACAAAGAACCACTCAGCACCAACCAGCCTATGACAATTTGTACTTAGGCGGAGCCTTGTTTTTTGTGGTGGTTCTTACAGGATTGTTTTCGTACTGTCAGGTAAATTAAGACCACAGCATTAAATCTTACATTACTATAGCAACATTTTCACTTAGAATAGGAGCATAAATCATCTGCCATTATGGATTCCTTTAAAAATCTTGTACCGCAGTATGCAACAGTAATACGTGAAGGAGAGATTAATACCGTATCTGCTGAAGATCTTGTAGTTGGTGATATCGTAGAAGTAAAATTCGGTGACCGAGTACCAGCAGACATTCGCATTTTAGAATCTCACAGTCTTAAGGTAGACAACTCTTCACTTACCGGCGAATCTGAGCCTCAGGTACGATCAACAGAGTTTACGCATGACAATCCATTGGAGACAAAAAATTTGGCATTTTTCTCAACCAATGTGCTTGAAGGTACTTGTCGCGGAGTTGTTATCGCAACAGGTGACAAAACTGTTATGGGTCGAATTGCAAATCTAACTGCAGGATTAGACCAGGTACAATCGCCGATTGCTAGAGAAATAGAGCACTTTATACGCATTATTACTGTATTTGCGGTTATTTTGGGTTGTACATTTTTTGTAATTGCTATGATCCTTGGGTATACCTTCCTTGATGCAGCAATATTTCTCATTGGCATTATTGTTGCCAATGTTCCTGAAGGATTGCTCGCGACCGTGACAGTATGCTTGACACTTACAGCTAAGCGAATGGCATTTAGAAACTGTCTAGTGAAAAACCTAGAAGCCGTCGAGACGCTAGGCTCAACTTCAACAATTTGTTCTGATAAGACTGGAACACTTACTCAAAACCGTATGACCGTCGCCCATTTATGGTATGATCAGTCAATAGTGGAGTCAAATACAACCGAATCATTTAAGGGATCAGAATTTAATAAGGAAGATAGGTCATTCAATGCGCTTTTGTTATGCGCAGCATTGTGTAACTCTGCCGAATTTAAAGGTGGCCAAGAAGAAGTGCATACATTAAAGAAGGATGTCAACGGTAATGCCTCGGAGGCAGCACTTCTTAAATTTGCTGAAATTGTATATGGAGGCATAGGGCCCGTACGTCGGACACACTTCAAAGTTACTGAAATACCGTTCAACTCAACTGATAAATACCAAGTCTCAGTTCATTCGTTCAATACCGCCGATTCCTCTTTTATAGTGGAGATGAAAGGGGCACCTGAGCGCATTTTGGACCGGTGCAACATGATTATAATCAACGGTGAAACTACTTTGCTTACTTCAAGTTTAAAAGAACAATTTGAGGAGGCATATATGGACATGGGTGGAATGGGTGAACGTGTTCTAGGATTTGCCGACTTAATTCTACCAAAAGACCAGTATCCCCTGTCTTATGAATTTAGCAGTGAGCCGCCTAACTTCCCATTAACAAACCTGCGCTTCTTAGGGTTGATTTCGATGATTGATCCACCACGTGCTGCTGTCCCTGATGCAGTCGCTAAATGCCGCACAGCAGGTGTTCGTGTGATCATGGTTACGGGGGACCATCCAATCACAGCGAAAGCCATTGCCCGAAGTGTGGGTATAATAACAAATCCTACCGTGGAGGATATTGCCAAAACACGAGGTATCCCAATCAATGAAGTAGATCCTCGTCAGGCTAATGCTATTGTTGTACATGGTGGTGAGCTGCGTGACATGACGGCTGAAGATCTAGATGCTGTTATCTTCTATCATAACGAGATTGTGTTTGCAAGAACTTCTCCACAGCAAAAACTGATTATTGTGGAAGCCTGTCAGAGACGTGGTGAAATAGTGGCGGTAACTGGTGACGGTGTTAACGACTCTCCAGCATTAAAACGTGCCGATATAGGAGTAGCTATGGGAATAGCTGGCTCAGATGTTTCTAAGCAGGCTGCCGATATGATTTTACTCGATGATAATTTTGCCTCTATTATAGTAGCCATCGAAGAAGGTCGCCTTATATTTGATAATTTAAAGAAATCCATTGCATATACGCTTACTTCAAATCTACCAGAGATTACACCATTTTTGTTCTTCATGATGTTCGACATACCCCTAGCTCTAGGGACCTTAGCTATCCTATGTATTGACATCGGCACCGATATGTTGCCGGCAATATCTCTTGCCTATGAAAAAGCAGAATCGGATATTATGTCTCGTATGCCTCGAGATCCTTATGAGGATCGTTTGGTGAATAAAAAGTATGAATTGTATAACAGTGTTCAACATATTTCAACTTTTAATCTTGTAATTTAGACTAATTCTTATGGCATACCTACAAATTGGTGTGATTCAAACCGTAGCATGCTTTTTTACCTTTTTTGCAATAATGGCCGAGCATGGCTTTCCTCCTTCCAAACTAATTGGTATAAGGCATAATTGGGACTCAAAGGATGTTGAAGATTTAGAAGATGGATACGGACAAGAATGGGTAAGTTGTGTTTTATTATAAATATGAAAAAAATGTATATATAATAGCTTTATATATATATATATATATATACATTATTGAGTAGATGTATTCCGACAGGAAATGGTAAGTCTTATATTTTACATAACATAGATATTTGAAAATTATCAAGTAAAAAACTAAAAGTTCGCATAAGCGATAGTAAACTTTCGTTTACTATAGATTCCTATTTTGCTTAAAGCAGATCGTGGAATAAACAAAAAACGTTCCTACAAACCCATTCCCTAATTAAACAGAAGCGGGAATAGAACTTTGAAAATCGCTTTAATCTGAATTCATTATGTTCTTTGAAGAGCTTTGAAAAAATATTTTGAAGCAAATCGAACAAAGCAATGCCATTTCTAGTTTGAGACATTATTTGGATGCTCCTTGTCATTCAAATTTGACGACTGCCTCATGTACGGTATTTCAAAAACCATACTATCCAAATATACTTTTGAATACTTTTTATACTTATACTATACTTTTTCGGCAAATATTACGCATAACATACGAATTGCTAATATCAAAATACTCAGTAATTGACAACAAATTTCTGCACACAACCTTGTGCTAATAGACAGAAATTTTTGAATGTTACCTCTCTTAATTTGGTCAGCCCGTTTTGAACAGATGCCTTTTTGCCATGGAGGTAGCTTACACATTAACCTTGTCTCATTTGCTTGTGGAGGGTCGTATTCGATTTGCGAACCTTGCATACTTCAAATTATATGATTCCAGCTAAGGCTTTTGCGGGACATATATTGCATACATATTTCCACAAAAATTCTTAAAGCTTTGAATATTTTTAAAGACATTTTCCATTTCAACGATGTACATCGGATCACATATGTTTGTATGCTCCAAGACCATAACTTGCTTTGAGACACGATACCGTTTCGCCGAAATGGAAAAGCAAAAAATCCTGCTTAAATTCTAATGATCAAATCTACTGTCCTATTTTATTACAGATAAATGAACCTTTGAACCTGCATACAAACAATTCTCGTGTCTTGGTATATAAGCCGGTAGAGTTCTTTGTGTTTTATCAGCTCAATTTTCCCTTCAAATCAGGTAGATGTTTAAAATTCTAAATCAGGGTAAACACATAAAATATTTTGTTGCTTTAGTACTATCCTTTACCAAAGCAGCTAATACCAGGTGAATTGATCAATTTTTTTAGGGGCCAACATAATCGACTTACTTTATTAACACATGTTGCAATCGCAACACATTTGAGATGTTCACTACTGTCAGCGGTTTCTTCTATTTGGCTTTATTATAACCCTTTTTTTCGTCGGTAATCGCTCACTCGGTGCCCTTCTGAATTGCTGCTTGATATTATTGTTGGTATGCTTTCGATACCGCTACTAGCCTCTGATGCATTATGTTTGTGTATATAGTAATTTTCGCGCCACTATGCCATCTACGTTAGATCTTGTCATGATGTATATATAAATTATTTTAATTACTTAGTATAAATATAATTTATATAATATAACATTTTTGGAATTCCATTACATTTTTTTCAAACAGCTGCAGAAGTTGTCCAGGACCTCATGAGCATGAACTGTGTTAGCTTCAGATAATGCCATACACCATAGTCCTCAGCAAGTTTTACTATTTTATGCGACATATTTATTTGGAAGATTTATCCACGTTATTTTGCACTCTTCGCCTCCAGTTTCACTTCCCATGAAAACTATTGCAGTCGACTCAAAAAAATTGACGTAATGTAAGCAGTAGATCGAAACTGACATAAAAATGTTAACATCACAGCCGCTGCGCTCTTGATGACAGTCTGTAAGAACAAAAACTACAACCAACGCAGCCTTCTGCTGCTTACTACTCTTAATGTATACAAAATAGAACTAAGTTGCAGAAGAAACACATCAGCCGAGATATTAAGTTAAATAAATATTTAACCCACAAATTCAAAGCTTATATTGGCGTAGTCGGTAATGGACTAATTGTAATAGTAATTATTGTGGAACCCTTTACCCAAAATCCAAAAAAATTAAAAAGTGCAATAAACAATTATCGCAAAAACAAACGTTTAAAGTTCACACCCAAAAAAAAATTTATAAAAAATCAATTTTTGGCACAATAATAAAAAAATTGAAAATTTTGGTGTGGTGTATCTAAAATGGCAAACCAACCAAAATTAAGTGATTTGCAGAAATGAATTCAAATGCCCACTACTCTGATGCTGGCTAATCAAGTAGATTCACGGAATTCAGCAGGAAAAATGAAAAGAATGGATTCAAAGCAAAAGTGAACCAGGTTTTGGAGGAGTAGGACAAAACCGACCAGGCTTTCAAGAACAAACTGCAAGCTCTGGCTTAACTAATTTCTTAGCATTAGGTTGAGAAGAGTGGTAACGTCGACTAAGGCATCACTACAGGCTGAGAACAAACATAATGGGCGCAACAGGAAAAAAAAAAATAAATTTAGCGGTATCTCGTGTTGTAGAGCTTGATAATAATGTCAAAACAATTGTTGAGGAAAGAGATTTATCGGTCTTTGAGATGGCAATTTTTTTAATGAATAAAACAACATTGACAAACATTAGAATTAAACATGCTATCTTTATAGGTATAAATTTAGGAAATTCGAACAAATATTTGTTATTAAAAAAAAACAATATCAATTCATAAAATAACATTTGACGAAACAAAAACACTTGACGTTACATAAACAACAGACAACAAAATTAAAATAACCATAATTACCGTACTGATCAACATAAGCTTGAAACTCAAAACAAAGTTAGATAGCAGCAAAGAAAATATAAAAAAAATCCAAGTTCCGACAAGGAATCTATATCGGACAAAATCAAAATTATAACCGACAACAGTGTCAAAATAAGACAAAATCAGAATTTTAAACAATCACACAATAATTAACAAAACTTTCGAGCTAATAAACACAGCCAGTTAAAGCAATCAGAGTAGAAATGATAAAAAATTCAAATGAAAATATTAAAGGTCAGAAAGATCAACAAGTAATTTTTATCAATTAGCCTCGGATGAAAGACCGATTTTTATTAAGGGAACAATAGACGGTTTTGCATTTCGAATTCTAGTTGAGGTATTTTTGAATGTTCTTAGTGCATCAAAAACATGGGTCCTAATTTGCACGACTTTTAAAAGTCTTTGCCCAAAAAAGATCCTGCGACAGTGACGGTACAAAATACGTACAAATTGGTTGTGATTGTCTATAAAATTCGATAACTGTAATGATTTTACCAATTATTTCTTGGTGTGCTTATACTGCTTGGCGTTACTTCTCGTGATAAGCGACCCCTATACAGTGTATGCTTGCGCCAGTGTCCATAAGACCCGCAATACTCTGGCCAAGAAGCGTCAGTTGAGCATATGGTAGAAGATCGCTGGAATTATCTAATACTGCAATGGGCAACAGTTAAACGGTTTTGGCTCGCGTCAGGTAAGGTGCGAGTGAACTGAACTGAACCCCTTAAAAAATTTGTAAAAAAGGTATAGTGTATTTGTGCAAATGTATGTAACAGGCAGGAAGCATCTCCGACCCCATAAAATATATATATTCTTGATCAGCATCAATAGCCGAGTCCATCTAGCCATGGCCCTCTGTCTGTCCGTCTGTCCGTCCGTTCGTCCGTCCGTATGTATGAACGCAAGGATCTCAGAACCTATAAGAGCTAGAGACTTGAAATTTTAGCTGTAGGGCCTCCTAGTCCCCGCGCAGATCGAGTTTTTTCCGATATTCGATAACTTGCCCCGTTTTCAAGTAATCAATAAAAATCGATATCGAAATACTGTTTTTTAAGCAAATTGGGTAAATAATAAAAGCTAGTCACCAAACTTGTTATGTTGCTTCTAGAATAGTATATGTATCAGTATCTTTCATTTTATACCTATCACCACCCCCCCGCTACCACCGCCAAGCTAAAAATCAAGTAAATAAACCAATTTACATACGCTGCCCGCCAATATAAGCCAAAATTTAAATGCAGTAGTAGTGTAGTGTAGTGTAGTAGTGCGGTTAGTTGCCAGCTCGAACCCTGCCAAGGAAACGTTTTTTTTTTTTAATTTATCTTCATTACTGAAGCAAACGAGCGCCTAGCGCGAGCTGCATTTGGTGTTGGAAGAAGAGGGTTCGGGGTATCCTCTAGTCGGGAACTCCTATAATATATATATATATTTATTGGTGATCAACGCACAGCCTAAAGCTAGGAAGCTGAAGTTTTCACTTAAGTTACCTAATGTAATGAAGGTGCGCGTTAAGACGAGATTTTGGGAAATTCCAACCGCAAGTGGTTAAAAATCGCAAAAAATGTTTGTATGAAACTTTTTTGTTTACCAGACACATTTATTTTCAAATTCTTTTGAAGGGTGTTTCTCATATTTTGGAAAATCCATTCCTCCTTGGTGGAAATGGGGGTCAAAGATTTGGTGGGTGACGTTTCGCGCTCAAATACATATCCAATCAACTATATACAAAAATCAACTATATACAAATTTTTCGGCAAATCAAAGCATCCTCGGTTTAAATTACGATTACGGTTTAAATTACGATTCATTATTTTTTTGATGAAGTTTTAAGTTTAGTCCGATTTGCTTCATACTTATTTTCGAAGATCTACACAAGAACTTAATGTATATGTGTTTCAGCGATTTGGGAAATCCCACCCACAACAGGGGTTAATTAGCGATAAACGTTTGTATTTTTTCTTTACCATCTAATCGGCCTCAAACTCACTAGTAGTTCATTTGAGGGGTGTTTCAAATTCATTTCCAAAAATCACATTTTTCGCGGAATCCAAGCCTCCTCGGTAGAAATGTGATACAAAGATTTATTGGTCGCAGTTTTAAGTTTTGTCTGATTTGCTTCAATTTTAACTTATATTCAAAGCTCTGCATACTTAATGAATAAGTGTTTCAGCGGCTTGGGAAATTTCACCCGCAACAGTGGTAAATTGGCGGAAAACGGCTGTATGAAAATTTGTTGTTTACCATCCGATCGATTCAAATATCTTTGTTCAAATTCCAAATTCGCCCTCAAATTTATTTCCCTGGATCTACATAAATGATCATTTGAGACGTGTTTCATATTTTTGGCAAAATCAAAGCTTTCTCGGTCGAAAGTGAAATTCTAAGATTATTTGGTGATGTTTTAAGTTTTCTCCGATTTGATTCAAACTAATTTTCAAAGCTCTATATAAGAGATTAATAAATACGACTTTCAGCAATTAAAAAAATTCCACACGCAACATTTTGTTATTATATTATTTGTTTACCGTCCGATCAGTTTTAAAATCATTTTCAAATCTGTTTGAGAAAAGTTATTTTATACGTGCAACGGGCGAGCCCGGGTTAAAGCCGCTAATATATATATAATTGAATTGACACGTAATTCAGTTTAAGGAAAAGTGTATTTTTATTTGAACTGAACGAAACTACCGAAGTATATAACAGATATATTCATTCATTCCAAAATTAGACTCCATTATTAATTCGTTAATAGTTGGTTCTGCTTTGGTTTATTGTTGAATCTATTCATACAATTTGTAATATAAGAAAACCATTCTTAGCTTGAATGGGGTTGACCTCTATTAGTTCCAGGTGACCTGTTTTCCGAAATGAGGTGGTCGTTTTCGATCTCACTAAAGGGGAATGTCAGTATTTAGTATCTATTTCGAAGTCATCACTATTTCCGTTTAACTTATATATTTTATTATTATATAATAATAATATATAAATGCATATACATGCTTATGTTATTCGAACTGACGATTTCTATATAAGCAGATTGGAATATAAGGAAGTCTAATTCATTCTGTATTTTATTTTTTTAAATTTAATTTGTTTTTATGGTAATATTTAGTTACTATGACTTCATTTTTGTTGCTTTTGATAAATTCGATTTGTCTGTTATAGTTGTTAATTGGTCTTTCCGTTATAGGTATATGACTTTCGTTATACTCTTGCCCACTATGTATGGTTGCTACTATACTGCTAGGGGATTCTGCTAATAGATTTTCTTCTAACTTTATTCCAGGTAGTGCATCTGCAAATTTCTAGTCTTTGACGTATTTGATATGGTAATAAACCTCATTCTCTACTGCCGAATAGTTAATATCATGCTCGTTAAGAGTTCTGCTGGCATAGCAGGTATAGTGATGTTGCAATGTTGGTTACGTCAGTAGCTAATGAGAATGGATTCTCGGAGTTTGGATAAATTAATATTAATAGTGAACGGATAGTTTTTAGCTGCTTCAATTTGAATTTTTTAATGTTTAACTGTAGTGTCAGATTTGCTTCTTCATCCTATGAAGTGGAATATTATGTCATCGATGTACACCAAACAATCTTTATAAATGTAGGAATGGCCTGATGCAAATAAAATTCAACCGTTCTTGTGAGCGTCACTTTTAGAATGTCGTCGCAGATCATTTTATTTCACCATCGTTCTCGTTTTTCTTATGCTCGTGTCAGATCGGGAGTAAGAGCATCGAATGTTTCGCTCTCTGAGCGAAGCCTTCGATGTGATTACAGTTATATTTACAGTGGGACACTTAATGCTATATCACAGTGGAATCTTACATGCTAATTATTACTACAATTCGGCCGTTCTGACGTTGAGTATCTCCTGATACTCGTTGAAATACTTCTAGTTAAAATATTTTATTTTATTTATTTATTAGTGGTCGACAAAACGAGTGTCTTCCTAATTATTCAATACATTATATTTACAATTATGAAATTTAGATGCTAAAAGCCTAGAAGAGAACACAAATTTCAAATAGCATCACCGACCGATGGAGGTGTTTTATTTGCCAGTCCGGCCAGCTGTGCCCCTTTTCACAGCAAATTTTGTCAGTGACGCTATTAGAGCCTACATCTAAGAAGAAGGGTGTAAGTAGGAAAAAGTTCTCTTAAGTAAAATTAAAAATAATCTTAATTTGCTATATTATTTAAGAATATATCATAAAGAGGAGAAAAGAAAGTAAAAAGATTGTTAATAAAGTATAGAACTGTATGCTAGATATACAGAGTGTTAAGTAGATAGGATAAAGAGATAGTATTGGGAAAGTAATGGGAAATCACCGACCCGGTGGGGGAAAATTTGCAGCCTGTCCGGCAAGCTATGCCCCTGCTCATAGCTGGGAATGGTCAGTGACTTCCCGAAGGTATCCTGAAAGCACCGATTTTATTAGGGGTAGAGAAAGTTCGGTAGAGAAAACGTGATGCAAACTATTGTAATTTTTACATAGCACGCGAAAAGGATTGTGCATAGCGTAGTCTGTTGTGCACGTAGATAGGAATAAGGGGCGGTAATTTCTGGTTGGTCTAGCCGGAACAGAGAATTGAAGACGCCCTAGCAGAAAAGGAGAATCTATATCGCCAACAACCAACTTATGTAGAAAGACAACACCGAGAATTGTCCTACGGTTGGTTAACGACGGAAGGTTAAGAAGAAGCAGCCTGCTGGAATAGGATGGCAACCGAAGATTAGGGTCCCAATTTAAACCTCGTAAGGCAAAAAGTAGAAATTGCTTCTGAACAGATTCAATACGATCCTGGCTATTGTTATACTGCGGAGACCAGATGCAAGAGCAGTATTCAAGGATAGGGCGAACAAGAGAGATGTACAGAAGTTTCGTTATAAAAGGATCGTTAAACTCTTTCGACCATCGTTTAATGAATCCAAGTACACCTTTTGCCTCATTAACGATGGTATCTATGTGAAGATTGAAACAGAGTTTAGAATCAAAAAGAACGCCTAAATCCTTAACTGTTAGTATACGTTGCAATGGAGTATTGTCGATTGTATAACTGACCAGATAAGGTGTAGTACGATTAAATGTCATAAACATACACTTTGAACAATTCAGATGCAATTGATTGGCCGAGCACCAAAGTTGCATAGCGTTCAAATCGTCTTGAAGACGAGAATGATGTAGGGGATTGGTGTATGATAAAATAAGTTTCACGTTGTCCGCATACATGAGTACACGGGCATGGGATATAACAGAGGGAAGATCATTTATAAAAAGATTAAAGAGTAAAGGTCCAAGATGACTACCTTGAGGAACACCAGAAGTAACGTGAACCTGTTTAGAGGTAGTCAGCCTCAGCACTACTCTTTGGGTCCTACCTTTTAAATAAGAACTAATCCAAAGCAATAAAGACGGAGGGAAACCTATTCGGTCAAGTTTAAAAAGTAAAATGTCATGGTGCACGGAGTCAAACGCCTTACTGAAGTCAGTGTAAATGACATCAGTTTGCATTTTCGAAAGGAAAGCATCATTTACCAAGGAAGTAAACTCAAGCAGATTGGTCGTAGTAGACCGATTCTTTACGAATCCATGTTGAACAGGGGAAACAACTGATTTGCAGAAATGCTGCAAATTCGAAGTGATTATTTTTTCAAATAATTTAGGAATAGCGGACAGTTTTGCAATGCCCCTGTAATTTAGTATATCAGACTTTCCACCTTTCTTGTGGAGAGGAATGATATAAGATTCTTTCCAAAGAGATGGAAAGACAGAAGAATCGAGGGATAGATTAAAAAGCTTTAGCAATGGATAAACAAGGGAAGAACTACACTCCTTGAGTAGACAACTAGGGATATTGTCAGGCCCAGGAGAGAAAGAAGATTTTAAAGAATTTAAAGCTAAAAGGAGAGAGGAATGGGAAATAATAGGGGGAGGTATAGAACTAGAGGAAGTAATAATATAAGGGTAAGAATTATTATTAGGACAGACTAAAGAGTAAGTTGATTGAAAAAAATTAGCAAAGAGGTTAGCAGAATCAGAGTCATTGCTAGCTTTATCCATCCCGAGAGAAAAAGAAGATGGCAAACTTGAAGATATACGCTTCGAGTTTACAAAATTGTAAAACTGTCTTGGATTTAGGGCAAATTGCCTTTTGCAACGAGTTAGATAATTCTCATAGCATTGAGAATTCAGAAGAAAGAAGTTCGACTTGGCTATGGAATATTTAGCCAAGTCAGTACACGAACCAGACATTTTAAACTTTTTAAAATATTTTGATTTTATATTTTTTAGATTCGTTAATCTGGGAGTAAACTAAGGTGGCTTTGAAGAGGTAGTCGAAGGAATTGACTTGGGAATACACATATCTAAGAGGGAGTTTAGGGTGTTATAAAAAAAGTTAATAGCAGTATTCATGTCAACCGAGTCATATAAGAAAGACCAATCGGTTGCATAAATAAGCTGATTCAGCAAGGAATAGTTTCCTTTGCGAAAGCTACGGCGGGGCTTATTGGCTGATGAGGACGAAATGAGAGGATTACAATTGAACATTACAACCTCTAAAGTAGGATGATATACATCCTCAGAAAGAGATAAAGGAGGGGACCTAGATACATTAGAAATAAGGTAGTCGTTAACAAATACAAGATCAAGTGTTCTTCTATTCAAATGATTAGAAATTGAATTGATTTGAAACAACGAAAGGTCAAGCATGCAATCTATAAAGTCATGCTGTGCTGAGGGCACTAAATAATTTTCGGCAGTGAAAAGTGACCAAGAGATGTTCGGCAAATTAAAATCACCCAACACAATTAATAGGTCATTATCACGCACGTGTGAAGAAACTTCTTTAATACAAGAAATATGTTTCATATAAACTTGAATATCAGAAGAAGGAGGAACATAAGAGCATGTAATATAAATATTCCGTGTAGGAAAAGTACTAAAACAGAAAAGTTCTGACTGGAGAGTGGCTTTAACGGCAATTAATACCCCACCACCTCGAGTCAGCCGATCATTTCTATGCAAAATAAAATTATTCGAAAAAACCTCAAAATCAGATATGGTTGAATATAACCATGTTTCTGAAAATGCGATTATATCCGAATCGAAGGAAGTGCTGGCCATGAAAAGATTTTTGAGTTTTGAAATGAGACCTCTGACATTCTGATAATGAATAGAGACTTGGTCAGAAGAAGAAGTTAGTTTTTTGGGGCAGAAATGGTACCTTGTATTGAAGGGACTGGAAGGGTGACAGGCTGGTTACGCTTTTTTGGCTTGAACTCGTGAACAATCATGTGTGGAGGCCAAAATTTGGGATCACAAATGATTGGGAACATATCATGTGAAACATTTATTTTGAATGATGATATTTCACGAGGAGTGGGGAAATTAAATTTAGTAATTGACACGCTAGCAGAAGATTTGCTAGCAATATAGGCTGCCAATGACTCAGAGGTGGTGTCAGACGAAAGCCGAGACACAAAAACTTGCCTACGAGGGGCAACAACAGTTAACGTAGGCGCTGATGGGGCTGCAGGGAAAACAGGATTTGGTAGGGCCAAAGAGGCACCATGATCGTTTTTAACAATCTGGGCAAGATTGCACGCAGGTCTGCCTTTGCGGCCAGGAGCTGAGGGGGCTGAGGCAGTTTGGCTAACTGGGACAGGTTCAGGTACAGGGTCTAATGGGACTATTTCACGGGATAAAATTGGGGTAATATTTGGGTAGTCGCTCGGAGAAGGCGATAATGACAACATTGGAGATGAATCCAAGTTGCTCGGAAGGGACAACACAGGCAAAGGTGTCTGGACAGACGGAGAGGGCAACTGCAAAAATTGAGGCTCCAACCGGCGATTGGTTGGAGACTCGAATTTATATTTGCTAAGCAACTCACAGCTCGAATCAAAACTACTCGAGAGCTGCTTAGCCACGCTATTTAGTTTTAAGAATTGATTTCTCACAGACTTATACATTCTGGAGAAATCAATTTGCTTGTCGATGCATTCTGGGCACGACCAACGCAAGCCGCCGCAGCCCTTCTTGGCAATTGCAGCGATCTTGTCGCAATCACGCCCAGTGAGACCTGCACATTTAGCATGCATTATATTCTCACACAGCCAGCAATTAACAAATTGCGGCAATGCAGAATCATCAGCCTGCTTGAACGTGCAAGGTTTCTTACAGCACGACATAATTACTACCAGCGTTAAAAGAATAAGCAAAAGTTGCGAGAGCGCAGAGCGAAACGAAAAACAGTGCACAAGAATAGAGCAAGTAAACGCTCAACAAATACTATTCGTACACAAACAAATTGTTTGCAGCGAAAAGCAACAGCAAAAATTTGCGAGAGCGCGATGCACAAGAATAAATTTGCAGCAGCGAACACACGCACAAACAAGTGTTTGCACAGGGGAGCACCAAAGCAAAAGAATCAAAACAGGCAATAACAACAATACGGAACTGACGCCGCGTTCAATAAAA